TATTTATTTGGAATGATTATGGGTCTATTTGGGACAGAGTTCTCACTATAATTTCGTTGCTACAATTTTTTTTACTATTTTTTTAAAAATTATGTAGTGAGAAGTTGCTTTTACAATCAAAATTATTAATGTGGGGAAGTTTTAAGAAAGTAGTTATTCAATTTATTAAAAATGAATAAATTTAAATTTATAATATTCACAATAGCCCTAAAAAAAGTTAATTTTCTCACAATTAATTTTATAAAATGTTGCACTCATCACAAACAAACTTTAACTATCACTTATTCGAGAAATTATTATGTACGGAGTCGTCTCGACGGGAAGAATCGTTCGGACATCTACGTGTGCATATTATGTACAAATTTGTAAATAGTATGTATCAAAATTTTATCGCACTGTGTCTAAATAATGTGTGCACTCATGATCCGGACAGTTCTTCCCGTTCGAACTCCGCACAGACTAATCTCTCCACTTATTCAGCTATTATTTGAAGATTCAGGAAGATGCATTACAAATATCATCATCGAAATCTGTAATATCAAAAATCTGCTCCAGGATCGTCCAGGACGATCTGGATCGTCCTGGGACGATCAGTGGAAAATCCGTGTTTTATAGTGGTATAGCCTATGAAATTAATATAAACATAAATTTATAATATTTATTTAGTCATGATGATGATTATTATTATTATTTATTCTATATTAATATTGTATTATCTTCTTAAAATTATTCAATTTAATGGCATTAATTGTATTGTCAACTTACTAATAATTATACTAGTAATTTATTATTTATTTATGCATAAATTAATTAGAGTTTTCTAAGGCATTTAATAATGCACATGAGTGCAGTTTTTAATTGGTATAATTCTAAAGCTTAATTGCATAATTATAAAATTAAAAAATTGCAATCAGATATTGCATTATTGCTCATCAAACCTATCGTTCGCTTGTCCTTTTTTCTCTAAGCCAAAATAATTGTCTTATTAGTTGTTAACTATTTTAATTTGTATAATAAATAAAATTGCAGGTCTTGGTTTCCATAGAAACTGGAATTAGGAATTCAACTGTGCTAATATGGATTGATATTATATTTTTTATTTTCTTATTTCATGCCTTTAAGAGATTTGAATAAATCAAATAAATAGTTGTATTTACTAAACTATTTTGGCTTATGCGGATTGAATTTATGTAAGTATCAAAATTGATGTATTTTGTGTGGGAGAGAGAATGATATAAGTAGGAGGTGTCAAAATGGGTTTTCACACGTCAGATTCAAGTCTGACTTGAATCCAGTCAACTCGAAGACATACTGTTTAATAAATTAGTCAAAAAGACTAACACGAACTTGACCCGTTAGCAACACGAATAACCCCAACTCGACCAATTAATGTATCTTGATTAAATTTGCTTATAAATTATTAACTATAATGTTTAGAATATTTGATAAAAAAATGAGAATATTATATTCACATGTAAAAAAAAAATAATAATAAAGAAATAAGATATTAAAATGATCATTTTTGTGTAAAAAATGGGTTCATTGGTCAATCTAAATCTGGCTCATTTAATAAACATGTCGGAAAACCCAAAACAAAACCAACCCATTTAATATATCAAACTTGAAATTTTTGCGTCTGGCTCGAGTTAGTTGGCAGATCAGGTCATTTATTGGAGAAATTATTAAGTGTGGGGTCTGAACATAGTTTGTGTCTGGAGTCCAATCATAACAGGCCATGTCAGCCTATACGCACAATGTGTGCAATTTGTACACAGGCTGTGTACAGACGATGTGATCGGTTCTGATTGGAGTGCAGACACCGTCCGAACATAATAATTTCTCCATTTATTGACACCCCTAGATATAAGAAAAAAATTTTGAGGGCAGGGCCTGAAAATTATTTTATTTATTTTAAGATAAATATAATATATAAAAAAGTTAATTACAAATTTTATTGTACTCATCTCAAATTAATTTCAGTGACTTAGAGAATATCTTGGTCCAATTTTTTTCCCATTCTATCATACTAGCTTCATTGATATGCTACATGTAATAACACAAAAATACGAAAAATGTAATAGCTTCATTGAACTTGAACATAATGGCACTGTGTTTTATATCGTTACGATACTATGCTTGAAAGCACAGCGGTGCTAAGCCACTAACTGATAATCCTTAACCTAAGCACTAAAACCCGCCAGCCCTCCCCATTCGTGTGGCTTGCTTGGGAAAGAAGAAGAGAGAGAGGAATGAGAGAGAATGTCGTTGGGGGCTTTTTCGATGGAATCTCTTTTTAGTTTTCAATGATTTTAAATTTGGCAGATTTCTTTTTTCTTAAGTCGTTAACAATGCATTTTCTTCTGATTTATCAAGTTTTTACCTTGTCATTTTTTGTATATGATAGATAAGGAAATTATTGACATTTTTAATGTAATATTATTGATTTTTATTGGGTTAAACAAGTAATGATATTTTGATGGTATAAAGTATGTATATACTTTACTGCATTTTTATATATATTGTATTTCATATAAATGAATGTGATATTTACATTTAACAACACAACAATTATTTCAGATTGGCTCTTAAAACGTTAATATCCTGCGTAGGAGGGTGGACTTACTTGCTTTCCTTTGAATATTTGTGGTGTTATTCCAGTTGTAGCTCGTAACTGATTACCGATTTCATCGACGAATAGAGAGTGATAGCTCTTAATGATTATTGAATAAAATGATATGAATGAACATATATAGGGATGAAAATATCACATTAAAAATAGATAACATTGATAACACTAATACAATAGATAGATATATCGATGGCATTGATATTATTGGATGCATAGATGATATATGAACAAATGATGCATATGAGTAGATAAAACATATACAACTGACGATATTGACACTTGTAGGTTATGATTACTTTACCGCTTTACTGATTCATTGATTCTTATACATGTTATTGATTCTTAAATTAATTGTAATAATTTCTTATTCTTTTTTTTTATAATCATTTTGAGCTTTACGAACATTAACTAATCATTGATATCATTGAATGTTATCGATTATATTGACCGAGCTCCGCATGCATATTGATTCTTTAATCCTTGTGTTGATAGCTTTAGTGAATTTGAGTTACTGTTGGGTTTTTTTAATTCATTATGTGAATTTCATGTTAGATAAAGGATCAGAACCAGCTGGAATGATATTGATATAGATCATCATTTTTTAAAAATTTTGTTTTGCATTTTCTTTTATTATTTTGTGGTAAGAAGTTTGTGATAGAATAGTAATTGTATTGATTTCCTATGTATTATATATTAGTTTTTGGATAATGAATATAGTAAAATATTTTGATGTATATGTATTGTAATTTTTTTGAGCTAAAGCTTACCCATTTAAATTTTATAAGCCGTATTAATTATGTGTCAACAATTGTTTGCTATTGAGCATTATATAATATTAAAACTAAATTACGTACACTACAATTCATGAGGTATAGATTGCACTTTATAAAAGTCCATAATTATAATAATAATAATTATTTGAATGTATCAAGTTATTTTTTACTTAGATGTAAAACTTTATAGTAATTTGATTAATTTATACTTGAATGCCTTAATCATCCTTGAATTTATATCAAAGTATTAGGAACTTTATCATGACTTCGAAGGATTATAATGATAAATGACAATGCTCAATTATGTGAAAACTCACTCCATTACAATTGAGTGATGAGAGATTTGAGGATTAAGGGAGCAATGGTATTGAAAAGATCGACATCATTTGTAATGGAGCGAGCATGAGAGAGAAATGTGGAGTTAGAAGAGTCGATGGATGCATGGAGATCTAAATAACTCAGGAGTTGTACTTGGCGTTCAAGGTCGGTTATCACAGCGAGCCATCATTATTGTTCAACTATGATCACTTGATCAATGTTGCCTGTTCGCCGTCACCTAGCAAGCATTGCTCGACTTATCATAGTCCATTTAATAGTGCCTGATCATTGTCATCTAACCACCGCCCAAACACCGTTGTCTAAATATCATAATTCAACTAATGTAACTCGACCACTGTCGCTCTTCCACCATTGCTCGACTGACATAATTTGATTGATATCATAAACCTTCTTTATTTATCCAACAAGTTATACTACAATTATAGAATACCAATCTCAAGTTCACTACTTCGTAATCCCTTTTATCCAATTGAGGGGGAGAGCGAATTTTTGTAACTTTGGATTATTTCATTTGAGCTAGGCCCTATGGGGTTTCCTCTTAATAAAAATAATAATAAAAAAAAAACTTTGGTATATTCTATGTCCCCTTAATCAAATTTGAACCAATTAATATTAAAATTTAATTTGAAGCATATTTAATTATTTTTAACATAAATTTTATTCTTCTAAATAAGACTATGCATCATCACTACTTATCTTGCAACAACAAAGTAGGGTTTTGACTTTTAAATAAGGCTATGCAAAAAATTTCTTGAAAATAATAAAAAATAAGTGTAAAAAATTTACCCCAAACAAAGATTTTATTTGGGAAGACTTTCTTATTGCTTTTTAAAGCAGATTTTTAATACAAAAATTAAAAACTTTATACTAAAAAACTGCTTTGAAAAACAATAAGAAAGTCGTCGCAAATGAAGCCTAAGCCTTAAGCTTCCTGCGTAAAATCTAAAAGTGCTATATGCCTATAAGAAATAAAATAAATAAATAAATTATTTTATTAATTGTTATATATTATTTAATTTTAATTTTTTATTTTTCTTTTCTCAGATGCATGCCAAGGGTTACTTCAGCGTTAGAGCCAAAAATTGGCTGTCCAATGTAAAAAAAAAAAAAAAAAAAAAAAAAAAAACAGTAAAATTTGTTACAAATCCGATATTTCAAAAATATTTCGACGGGCTCAAATCTGCTTCAACTAGGAGAAGCTTATAGGTGAGCTCACGGGCGGTGATCACACCGAAAAATTAATAAATATGTTTCAAACCAGCTGCTACCTTTATTTAATTCGCCTGAACTGGCTTATCAACGCCGGGCTCTTGCCGTCTTCACCTCTCTGCTCTCCTTCTTTCTCCGGCAAAAAGTGAATCCTCACGAGTTGATTTGTGGTTGATTAAGAAACCGCAGATTCGTGAGAGGTGTTGGTAGGGACAAGATGGAGAAGTTTCTAAAGGAGAACTTCGATTTGCCGGCAAAGAATCCGTCGGAGGAGGTGCTGCGGAGATGGCGAAGTGCCGTCGGAGCGATTGTTCTGAATCGCAAGAGGAGGTTCCGGATGGTTGCCGATCTTGATAAAAGATCCGAGGCTGAGGCTCGCCGTCGCAGCATCCAGGTTTCTCTCTCTTTCTATTTCTCTCCATTTCTTCATGTATTGTTATTATCATATCTGATTTTTCTTTTCGAGATTCCTCTTCATTTTACTCGAAACCCTAGCTGGGATTGATTTATCGTGGGTGATGACGATCGTATATAACATCGCAATTTAGTGAAGCGGAAGGTAAAGTTCAGTCATCGCCGTTACTTTTTCGCTACGTTTCAATGTTTTAGAATTGCGCGTAGGGTGAAATTGATTCCTCTCATACAGGCCGTCAGTTATTTTAAAGTAAAAAAAAAGCAGTTAATGGATGTGATGGGTGGTGAGGAGAGTCAACAATAATAATAAATTTCTGTCGCTCAGATGTAAACGGTTTTGTCTGTGCCGACTGCAGAGTCTGGGTCTGGTTCAAGAATTGTAAATATATGCGTGTTTGGTTCGAAATATGCACTTACTCCCCCCCCTCATAGTTCAAATTATTTTTGATGAATTATATAATTTGATCACAACCATATATAAAAAAAACTTATTAAATTTTTTATACATCTTAGTTCATTTAGTTTGCTGGATCAACGTCATATGTGAAAAGATCTAAATTTTTTTCTAAATATATAGATCAATTCAATGAGCAAAATGGATATGAGAGAGATAATGAGATTAGAACTTTGTGAAATTTTTTGGTGAATTGATTTACGAAAGACTTGGCTGAATCATATGTCCATACGGCAAAAAAGAGTGAGTGCAACAAAGACAATTCACAGAAAATGAGAGGGAATTTGAGGAAAATCTACGAGAAATTATGTGAGAGATTTTTATGTGATAGGACTTTAACTCAAAGTTTTAGATTGCATATGAAAATCTAGATGTCACATTTTCTTGTGTCGTTGCATGACCATTCATTCTGTATTGATAGTTGAAGTTCTAATTCAACATAAAAAAATTCGCTACATAGTTTGATTTCACAAAAAAATAGATAATTTAAACTCGGCATAACTAAATATGCATTAGATGAGTTGTTTGTAGTCAACAACTAGTTTTGAACATTGGAGGAATAACTGGCAAGTAATGGACTTCCTTGTTGAATAGCCTTGGAGAATAGATTACTTTGTGAATCTCTTGAGCAAGTTCATTAACATAATGCAAAGGGTCGAGTTAGGGCTATCTTTTGGATGACTTGTTGAGATTTAGTTCTAGGCCACTCAAAGATTTTATGCAAATTCAAATTTGATTAGATCTGAGTTGGAGGCTACCAAAAAGATTAATTATTAATGGCCTATTGAACTTAATTCAAGTTATGTTATTGAATTTTGTGCTACGAACTGGATAGCATAATACTTTTCATATCTAATGAGTAATATTTTGATGTCCAATAAATAGCTCCTCCCCCCCCCCCCAAAAAAAAAAAAAAAACTCCCAAAAAAAAAAAAAACAAGCTTATGCAGGTTTGGAGATACAGTAATTCTAAATCATCCTCTAACCATTGGTTTTCGTTTTTGATGCTTGACGATTATATCAGCCAAGTCACCAATAGGAGAGAACTTGGGGAGCTCTCTTGCCGCCGACCATTGCCGGACTTCTTCCCCTTCGTCAATTGCCGCCGGAGTTCTTCCCGGTCACCACCGGAATTCTGCTCGTTCGTCGACCACCGCTGAAGTTCTTCCCGACTTTCGCCCGTTCATCGACTACCGCCGGAGTTCTTTATGACTTTCACCCGTTCGTCAACCACCATCGGAGTTCAGCTAACTTCCGTCTGTTCGTCAACCACTATCAGAGTTCTTCCTAGCCACCGTCGGACTTCTGCTCGTTCGTCGACCACCGCCATAGTTTTTCTTGGCCACCACCGGACTTCTGCCCTTTCGTCGATCACCGTCGGGATTCCTCCTGACCATCATCGCCCACCGGCAACGGTCCTTCCGACCACCGTCGCTTGCCGACTACGGTTCTTCTGACCTCCGTCTCTTACGGACTACGGCCCTTTCGACCTCTGTTGCTCGCCGACTACAGTCCTTCCAACCACCATCGTCAACTAAGACCCTTCTGACCTCCGTCGCTCACCGACTACAGTCCTTCCAACTGCCATCGCCAACTACGGTCCTTTATGACCTCTGTCGCCCGCCGACTTTGGTCCTTTCGACCATCATTGCCCAACTTTGGTCATTCCGACCACCGTCGCCTAACTATGATCCTTCGAACCACCGTCTTCCGACTACAGTCCTTCCGACTTACATCGCTTGTGGACTATGGTTCTGCCGATTAAGCGAATATCTCAACACTCATTCTTCCAACTCTCACCATATAATGCACTTTATATGATGTATATTTGCTAGATCGAGCCAAGGCCTTCCTCCTAAGGAAGGGTCTCATTTGTAATCAATTGCAAACATTAGTGGATTCATTTAAACTGGGCCAGGCCTTGTGATTTTTCTTCTTTTCAGGGGTTTCCAAGAGAAAATTCTGGTGTCTCTTATAAACACTACATCTTTCCTTATTTATATGTCTGTGTGCTGGGTCTTCATATAAAGCTATGATGCTAAACTTTATATTTCTCTACCACCATGAATGTTCCAGGACGCAACAAGTCTAATTGGAAGAAAAAAAAAACATTTCTTTTTGTGTGAGTATTAAAAAACTTCATCTAAAATAAATGGAGCTAAATTTTTTTGGGGGATTTACATGCATAACACTTAAACTATAGGGTTTACATATTTGACACTTGAACTTCATCATTTATATTGATGATGAAGAGGATGTCGGACATGAGGAAGTTATGACAGAATCTCATAGGAACGAGGTTTTGACCCCCAACCCCCTCATTCCTTGTCGTGATGGAGCTTCCATCTTGGAGAAGGGACAAGGAAGTTGAATGGGATCTCGCCCAAAATGGTGATGAGATACGCAATGCACTGCTTTGGCCATCTTCTTCTCCATCTATAACTTCCGTCACCCCCTTCTTCACTTGTCTAAACCCACTAACACCATCGATTTTGCCACTGGTCATCAATTACAAAATTGTAACAAAGAGGGTGAGGGCGTTATTTTTTATGTTAAATATGTAAATCTTATAATTTTCAATGCTATTTATGTAAATCCTCTTTTTTTCCCCAAATGCCAGGATTTTCTTAGAACCGCACATAAAAGGATGATTAAGGCCTTGTTTGAGATGGCTTAATTTCGCCTATTCAGTTTCGAAATGGCAGAAAATTTTTTTCCTGTTGTTTATATGTGCCACTTTTTCATAAATGCTTTTTAGAGAACTGTATTTTTGTATTTTCAAAAGCTTTCTCATATTAACTTCTCCGTTTTTGAAAACTCCGTTATTTCAAACAACAATTTTAAAACTACTTTTTAGACAAGGTACAAAATAACCAAACAAAGCCTAATAGTGTGTCAAATGGACAGCTGATTGGTTGTGCTGTAAATATAGCATAGCTTTTCTTTTTATGCGAGGGCCCCAACCCCAACAATCTCTTACATTGACCCAAGAGACCCAAGAGATATGTTGTTCATTTTCTATGATTCCTTCTACACATCCGAAATTATCCATGTAAAAAGACAGGGCGTATCTTAACGTTTGCAATGTTCCCGGTTCAAATTGCTTGTCAGATGGAGAATTGGTCAACCATGTCGTAATTATCTGAGAAGCGGTTTTCTGCTCTTGTATTTTTTTGTAGTTGTTTATTTTTCTTAAAATAGATGCAAAGTGAACTGGATGCAGGAAAAATTGTTAAAAATGAAAAAATAAAAGTAAAAAGGTCACTTCTTTCAAAAATTTTATAAATGAAGGGCATACAATTTGGTCATTTTTTAATTTATTAGGTCTGGATTTTTTCGCGTTTCTGTATTTGGAACCTAACAGTCCTTCCATTGTCAATGGTAGCCTGTGGTTTTGATATATCATAAAAAAAATTATCTTGATCGTGCACGAATCTCGAAGCAAAATCAAGCTAAAAACTTCAAAAATTAAATCCGGGATCATATGAACTCCGATTTCAGTAAACTTATAGTCGAACCGAGCGTCTCGAAAATACGAACCCAACAACACCAAATTCAACTCAATCCGAGTCCAAATCAAGGAACCAAAGCGCTGTTGGAAAGTTCAAGCCACAATTTGGGTTACCGAACGGTTTCCAAACATAACATGCTTATAGTCGAATCGAGCGGCTCGACGAGACAAATCCAACAAGCCCAAGATCGGCGAATTCCGACATCATTAAGACCTTCAAATGTCCGACGAACGGTCCACGATCAAATGATTCAATATCAGCCGTCCATTCGAACCACTCCACCTTTGCCCTTGATCCTCCTCCTATTTACGGGTTTTGCCATCATAAAAAAACTATAAATAGGCCCCTCATTTCTCTTGAAAGGGGACCCAAGCAAGAAGAAGAAGAAGTGAAGAAGAAGAGAAGAATAGGTGGGAAGAAACTCCTCCTCGACCACCACCGAAATTCTGCCCGACGCCCAAGTGACGTCGGAATTCTGTCTGACGCCCAAGTGACACAAGAATTTTGCCCGACGCCCAAGTGATTCAGGAATTTTGCCCAAGTGATGCCGGAATTCTGCCCGACGTTCAAGTGACACCGGAATCCCGCCCGACTTTTCAGTGACGCCGGAACTCTGCCCGATTTCCAAGTGACGCCGGAATTCTAAATGACTTTTAGTTTAGCTCGAATACACAACTTGTTTGTAACTTGACTTCAATCCTGAAGTGAATCATTGTAATCTGATCGTTCTAAATTTTAAGGACGAGTCAGCCTCTTATATCTTATGCAAACATTAGTGGAATTATTTCAAATGGGCATGGCCCCTTGGTTTTTTCCCTTTCCAGGATTTTCCACGTAAAAATCCTATTGTTTTTTATTTCTCTCATGTTTGTGTGTTGGATATCCGTGCAACACTGAGACGAAAACTTTTCTAGCTCTATTGCCACGTATATTCTAGTCCGCAACAGGTTTCATCTATATTTTAATGTTAAACCAGATATAAAGGGGTTTATACAGAAATTGGCTGGTCAACTT